ATAAAAACGGAGTATGAGGAGTACGTATTAAATGGCGTGCATATTCAGGTATTTAGTGGACCAGAGGTGACCATGAACAAAGATGCCCTTCATTTCGGTGGCATCGAGCATCGAGAAGTGAGCCCGTTTATCTTATTTGCTTCTGATTTCATTCTGTTCACTCAAATTCATCTTCTTCAATCTTGATGCAGATACACAATATGTATGGTTTTCTCCAACATTCATCGACATTTGAAGGGCAACTCCAACGTACCGGTGGGAAGGATCGGCCATTCATACTTACTCGGTATGTTTTTATGCTGCTACTTTTTTTATTGACCGTTTTCAATTGTTTTTCTGAACCTGTAGCAGCGGAAAGCCTGATTCTTATAATGCCTTTTGTTCCATTCCATTTCTACGTACATAGGATATTATATCTCATTACGAAAGCCGATTAAAAGCAATCAGTTGTGAGGCAGAAGAATTGGGATAAAACATAGTTTTTCTCCTTGTAGGTCAGGATTTGTGGGATCTCAACGAACCGCTGCAATCTGGACCGGAGACAATACTGCTGACTGGACACACTTGGCCATAGCAGCTCCTATGTTATTGTCATTGTCAGTTTCTGGTGTGCCCTTTGTTGGTGGGTAGTTTCACAGGCTCAGAATAATTTTGCATCTTTTCTCAGCAATATATCTTATTACACCTGATACTATTTACCACTTAATCCCTGAGTGTCATCCGTGATGTTGTAGGAGCTGATGTTGGTGGATTCTTTGGTAACCCTGACGAACAGCTACTCACTCGTTGGTATGAAGCAGGCGCATTCCAACCGTTCTTCAGGTAGTATCTGAGAACGCTCTTTGAATGATGTTTACGATAGCAATTGTTCAGGGCTCATGCTCACATTGACACAAGAAGGCGAGAGCCATGGTTGTTCTCTAAGCCAACACTGGATGCAATTCGTTCCGCAATAAGACGGCGATATGCCTTGCTTCCTTACTGGTAGGAAATTTTTCATTTTTCTTGCGGCGCTCCTGTTTATTTAGCCCTTTTGTGTTTTTTAAAAATCATTCGTTGATTTTTCTCTTATCCTTGGGATCAATCATTTGTGTTTACTCAGTTAACAGGCAGTGGTCACGGCCATTGTTTTGAATGGGCTGCTTCCATTTTTCCCTGGGTAATCACAGTATGCCAGAAAATCGGTACTTAGCCCAACTGTATAAGAGAGTACCAGATGAGCTGCATATCAGAATTTTTGCTTAGGATATCGAAAGGGTATACTTATTGGGAAACTGATCAATATCAGTTTTCTTATTCTTGATTGGCATGCCACAACTATCGGTATTTAGGTATACATTGTTCCGAGAGCATTCTCTTACCGGCGCACCGCCTATGCGACCTGTTTGGTTCGAGTTTCCCGAAGAGGAGAAATTCTTTGAGGAAGAAAAGGTACATTCAAGCGAAAAGCTCTGAAATTCGGTTACACGTGGCATTTTGTTGTAATGTGGACTGAAGAGGTCTCTATTCTGGTTTATTGAAGGTCTGGATGGTTGGTCATGCGTTACTGGTTCGGGCTGTTGTAGAGAAAGACTCTTTCAACGTTAATGTGGAGCTCCCAGTTGGGAGAGACAAGGTATTTTGCGTGTTTTCACCTTCATAAATCTATTTTATCGTAGAATAATTTCTGAAGCTGTGGTTTCCAGAACATTCGCTGGTATGAATGGGAATCTGGAGCTGAGAAACAACCTGGTTCGTTGTATGTTGATGCACCAATTGATCACATTCCGGTATTCCAACGTGGAGGTACCATAATCCCAACGTGGCAAAGAATAAGACGTGCTGCGAGTTTGATGATTCAGGTAGGGGTTCCAACTTGCTACTGTTGGTTGTTTTTTCTATTCTTGGAATACAACTTTCTTCCTACAGGATCCCTTGACTCTATTTGTCGCCTTGGATCGCTCTGGTCATGCCAACGGTAGTGTCTATCTTGACGATGGCGCTACTCATTTTTACAAGCATGGGATGTTCGTCTCAGCTGAAATGGTTTACAAGTAGGTGTTTATTTTTGTAAAGGTTCCCATATTTTGGTCTGATAATTTCATTTGAAGTACGATTTCTAACAACGAGGCTGAGATTGTTGGCCAACCAACGGCTGACAGTGGCAAATATGAGACTGAGACCTGGATTGAGCGTATTGTTGTTCGGGGCCTCAAGCGTACACCTACCAACGTCACGGTAGTTTTTTTTAGATCCATTTGTTTCCATTCATTGTATAAGGAAAGGTAGCGCCCTACGATTTTGAACGAGTTGCATTCCTCAAATCATTCAGTCTTAAGTGTACTGAAACTTTTCAGATCAATCGAAGCTCTGATCCCACAGCTAAGTTGGAGTACTCATATGATCGCGACCGTAGTGTGCTTACGATCCGTAAGCCTTTGGTAAGCATCAATCAATCGTATAAGATCACCATTTCCCTCTGATGGTTACCAAGGGGGTACAGGGCTAGTAATTATTAAAATATATGTAAGCTAATAGAGAAATTGATTATTTTGATATTGTTGTAGGCTGGATATGTTCTTATAGGAGATATTTAGCCCTGTGTCTCCTTTTTTCTAGTCCATTTCAGATGAATTTTTGTTACTGTCAATAATGTAGCTTTATGTAAGTTCTAATTGTTTTGTAATCTCGGATAACCATAGCATCGAGAATCTTTTAACTATGAACCCTAACTAATTAATTTATTGTGCTGCATCGAAGTAATTTATTTGAGAAGGTACAAGTACAGTTCATTGGCGTTGTCGTTATTTGGGTCGTCTTATGTGAATTACGGTTGTTTTAATTTGATAAATGTTTTTTGTTGATTTTTTTATGATTTTATCTTTGATTTTATTTTCCTGGTAAACCAGATACCAGCAAGTAGCCATATTTTGGCTAGTTAGTTCTGCTGATGTTATTCACAGTTCTAAGAGGCTCTCTGGTACCATTGAGCTTGTCCATGTATAGCTTTAACCTGGATCGGGAGAACATCCACATGTGCGGAGATGTAGGCATATAGGCCTGCTTCTAGGCATGTCTTTAACATCCATGAAGTTGTCTTTTGCTGGTGTAGGCATCCACAGTGGTAAGGGTTCTATGAGGCGGGAAACACTAATTATATTCAATCCTATTTATGGCTAGTCGGCGGTCCTTTCCAGCTACACGACTTGTTTGCAAAAAAGCTGTATTTTATTGATATGGTGGATGCGCCATGCACCCTGCTTCCACTTGGAATTGTAAGGGGGTGGTCTTGAACCACACATAGACTTGCCAGACAAGATTCTTATCTCCTGTGGGGGGACTTCCAAACAGCTCCAAAAAAAAGCAAAAAAGCTTGTTCTGATGGGGTAACTTATTCATGTACTTTCAGAATTGATTAGATGTTTAGCAGTACAAGTTTTCTGCACGTGAATTTGTATTGTTAAACACCTAATCAGTACAGAAGGTGCATGAATAACCTGACCTAAGTAATTGAGTGGATAAGCTTTGAGTAACCGCCATTAGGTCATCACCAGAACATTGCTTTCTATGAAAATCTTAGACAGTTCCTCGCATTGCCTATTCATCAATAATTATTTTTTTTTAAACTGACAACTCTGCATTTAATAAATTTCTTTCTTTCATCAGCATTTCCTTCGCTCTTTAGTCGCTGGTCATTTCCTTTGTTCCTTGCTCCGGTTGATATGATTGTCTTGATTCCAGTTTTTCTGGATTGTGATTGCAGCTGTCATGTGCCTGTCTCGTTATCTCGGAGGTTACCTTACACCTTGTTGTTCTTTACCTTTCCTTACCCTGTTCTTTCCATCTAAAATTACCGCTTTAGTGGCTGTGTCTGGCAAATCGATGTATTCTTAGCTTTGGGATCAGTCACCGTTCCATTCTTCTATGTGGTTTT